TCCTCTGTCCATCTCCCCCTCCTGTCCATCTCCCCCTCCTCTGTCCATCTCCTCTCCTATCCATCTCCCCTCACATCTGTCCATCTCCCCTCGTATTTCCCCCTCCTCTGTCCATCTATCCTCCCCTCCATCTCCCCCCGCCCCGCCCCATCCTGACATTGTGCCTCCCCTCTCCCCTGACCTTGTCCCTGGGATTTACGCACTGTTGGGCTCCAGGCTGGCGCCAGCACTGTCATCTCGGCCGGGGGCCCCTCATGCCTCCTGTGGCCGGGTCTTGGAAGGGACAGAAGAACAGGTCTCGGACCCCCATGCCCCAGCCCCTGTCCCGCCCGCCCCTTTGCCTCCCCGCCCCTCCCGCATCCCTTTGATGTGGCTGAGTTTCCGCCCCTTCCTCCCCCAGGCTTCCTGCGTCGGCCCCAGTTATGGTGAAAACTCTTCATCTCCACTTCCAAGAACCCCGATGGTCCCCAGAACCCTCCCCAGGTTAGGGACCCAGGAACCCAGCCCCCCACCCTCTGCTCCCCCTGTCCCAGGAGTGGGGACCCTGGCTCCGCCCCTTGGGGACCTAGAGTCCAAGTCTCCTCACGCACCAGGCTTGCCCCAGCTGGGTGTGGAAGGGGCCAAGCCGGGTGACAGCCAGAGACCGAAAGTGAAAGGAAAATTTTGGGGGGAGACAGTCAAGGGGTGGAATCTGGGCCCAGGCGGAGCGCGCTCCCTGGTGGTGAGAGGCGACCGCTCACGCCGCAGATGGTGGGTTCCCTGGACGCCCCGCGGCGGGGGCTGCAGTGGGGTTGAGTCCCTGGGTGGCATGCCCAGTGCATGGTGAGCTGGGGCTGGAACCCGGATCTGTCTCTGGGAACTAGGAGTTGCTGTGTCTTACCGTCCTCTGGGCCCCAACTTTGCCCCGCCAAGGCTTGGCACACAGGACCCAGGATGTATCTTGTCACATTGGGCCTGGCAGGTGTCGCCCTAGCCCTAGCTTTATCATTGTGGGAGCTTGGCCAGCCCGTTGACCTCTCTAAGCCTCGGTTTCTCCAACTCCAGACTGAGGGGTGAGGTGGTAAAGGAGACAAAATAGAAGCTCTCTTCCACATCTGTGGACCTCTGAATCTCTGAAGTTTTTTTTTTGTTGAGAGGGGGTCTCTCTCTGTTGCCCAGGCTGGAGTGCAGTGGCACAATCTCATCTCACTGCTACGTCCACCTCCCGGGTTCAAGCGATTGTTGTGCCTCAGCCTCCTGAGTAGCTGGAATTACAGGTGCGTGCCATCACGCCCAGCTAATTTTTGTATTTTTAGTAGAGACGAGGTTTCACCATATTGGCGAGGCTGATCTTGAACTCCTGACCTCAGGTGATCTGCCTGCCCCGGCCTCCCAATGTGCTGGGATTACAGGTGTGACCCACCACACCTGGCCTGAATCTTTTGCTTACCCATCCGATCCGTGGCAGACTGTCCTCAAACATCTCCTGGCCCCTCTTCCCTGCAGAAGGATTCGAGGCCCCATCCCGGGGAACTCGGACATGGCCACACTCACTTTGGCCAATCACATGAGGGTGGAGGTGACAGGTGTCACTTCTAGATGGTAGTCTAAGGGTCTGGGGAATGGATGGTGGAGGATGCGTGGAGAGAGCGCCTCCATCAGCCAAGTTTCCTGTGCCACTCAGAGGAGTACAGGGATCCTGCCAGCTCTGGATGAGCGCAGGGAGTGTAAGCAACAAACTAAAGTTGTGGTTGTGGCCCACGCAGATTTGGGGGTTGTGTGTTACTGCAGCAAAGCCTCGCCCGTCGTGGCCTTCACCATCCATTTCCCTTCCCTGATCCCTCTGCCTGCCTCACTTCCTGTTCAGCCTGGGTTAGCTGCCTTGTCGCACTGAATGGTCAGACCTTCCATCTGGCTAGAAAGAGAGGCAGAGATACAAGCCCCAACAGCTCATGTGGCCCATGGACAAAGGACCTGCTCTAGCTCCTTCCTGACCAAGTCCTGGGGCCCCTCAGTGTGTGTCCTGCCCTAATGCCCTACTGTCTCTAGGGAATCTCTGTGGCCTTCCCGAAGACTCCTCTCTCTCTCTCTCTTTTTTTTTTTTCTTTTTTTGAGACCGAGTCTCGCTGTGTTGCCCAGGCTGGAGTGCAGTGGCATGATCTTGGCTCACTGCAAGCTCCGCCTCTGCCTCCTGGGTTCAAGAGATTCTCCTGCCTCCACCTCCCAAATAGCTGGGATTTCAGGTGCTGCCACCATGCCTGGCTAATTTTTATAATTTTAGTAGAGACGGGATTTCACCATGTTGCCCAGGCTGGTCTCGAATTTCTGACGTCAAGTGATTCACCTGCCTCAGCCTCCCAAAGTGCTGGGATTACAGGTGTGAACTGCCACACCCAGTTCGGAAAACCCCATTTTTTTTTTTTT